GAAGACAAGGCCTTCCCATGGTGGAGACCCGCCGGCCAGCACGGCGCAGGGACCCGCCGCCAGCCTCAGCCTCGAGGCCGCGGCCTGACTCCCGGTCTGACCTCCCGAGGCTGGAGTTCTGAACGTGCTCCTTGTGGGCAGACACTCCCGGGTGGGCACTCGGCTGTGTCATCGAGTGTCCGCACACTCTGCCCCTTGCTGGTGGCCCAGCTGGGGCCTGGGCTGTGACAGTCACTGGGGGCCATGACTGAGCACACGGACTCAGACGGGAAAGGGGGCCAGAGCCAGTCGCTCTGCACCAGGTCCTGCCCTGCGTGGGGCGGCCTCCCTCCAGCAGAGAAGCCTGCACTTCTCCCGTCTCGGGTACGCCCGTCGGTGGACTAAGCCCCCCAGCTGGGCTCGTGCAGGCAGGGACGCCTGGCAGGAGTGGGGATGGGGATGGGGCCGGGGCCGGGGCCGGGGCCGCGCTGGGGCCTGGATGCTCCGTGACGGGAGGGCTGGCTGCTACGGGTCAGCGCGTGGGGCCGAGGGTCCCGCCCTCCGCGGGCCGACCACGCAGGCCCATCCTGCTCTGACAGCGGTGGACGATGACGCGGCGGAGATGGCTGTCACTCTGCCCTGCCATCGGGAAAGGCTGGGTCTGCCGACAGCCGGCCAGTGAGCGGACCGCGGGGAGCGTCCCCCGGGAGCTCCCGCCCCAGCATCGCCCTACAGCCCGGCGTGTGGCCACGGGGCAGCTGACCGCTACACCCACCAGGTAGTCGTCTGGCCGGATCCCGAAGAGCTCCCGGAAGTAGCGGAAGGCGACAGGTGCGTAGGTCTTGAAGCGGAAGTCCTGGAAGTGGTGGGCAGGGGTGAGGTTGCTGCCTTCGCTGAGGAGGAAGGGCACACAGGCAGGCCGTGAGGACGGGCATGGGTCCCCTCACCCCGCACCCCCTACGCCCAGTGGCCCTCCCCAGGCTTCTCACGGCGGCCCAACCCCCGAGCAGCCCGGGGCCCCTGATGGGGTGTGTCCAGGCTCATGCCTGCCAGAACAGACTACGCTACCCAGCCTCCTTGGCACCTAGGTGTGGCTGGTCGCGTGACTACACCTAGCCAAGGGTACCACTAGGCCTCAGAGGCAAAGACACGTTACTCCCTCTTCCTTCCTCCTGCTGGAAGGCAGCCACGTGGGGCCACCGGGTACAGAGGGTGCACGTGGGGGAGCCAGTTAGGATTTTATGAGGGGGAAATCAACCCCGTCTTTGTTTTCCGAGTCAGCAGCGACTGAACGTCCTAACTGAGGGCCGGAAGGGCCCTGTGTGCCCCAGCAGAGGGCGTCCTGAGGACAGGGCGCTAGGCCGGCGGCCGTACCTGGGGAAGAAGATGCTCTCGACCACGTAGAAGTCCTGCATGAGCACGTCGCGCTCCGGCTTGGAGCTCAGGTTGCCCACGGTGTAGCCGATGCCCAGCTGGATGGCTCCCTTCAGAGTGGAGGAGGTGGTCTGGGGGGACCACGGGTGTCAGGGCCGGCGGCAGTCCCTGCCGCAGCCCGCGCCCCACCCCGCACGCAGAGGGCACCCGGCACCGGGCGGCAGCGTTCAGACTGCGCCCTCCCGGAACGGGACGCCCTCCTGCCACTGCCACCGTGCAGGGACGGGGACGGGCAGGAAGAGGACGCTTGTCCCTCTCGGGCCACAGCAAGGAAGTGGCTTGGCCGTGGCCTCGACTGCTGTGTGTGGCCCTGAGACCTGTTTGCTTTTTTAAAAGAAGTATTTCATTTAACTTTACTTATTTTAATTTGACCAGAGAGGGACAGAACAAGACAGAGAGAGAGAGGAGAGTGAGAAAGCAAGCTGCCAGGTCCGGGACCCGAGCCGCCGTCGGCCATGTGGGAGTCCAGAGCCTGAACCACCACGCCATCTGTCGGGCCCCGAAGGTCCCCACATTTTCTTCCTTTAAGTGCCAGAGGGCCACATGCCCGCCAGGGAGACAGCGCCCTCAGTGGGGTGCGGGTACGGGGCAGGCCCGGCTCCCTCCGCCAGGCCTGGGCTTGGGGGACGCAGGCTCACGGGCACCTGACGCGTGTCTCACGGCATCAGGGCGGGACTTTAACCATGGCTGCCTTCCACGCGGCCCTGAGCAGCAGGGGCCGGCCAGCGGGGACGCCGACGTCCTGCCGCCGCCTGCCAGCAGCTCCCATCTCACTGGGGCCACCACCTCTGCCTTGGTTTCCCCACGCAGACGCCAGGGGTGTAACACGTCCCCTCCGGTGCCCTGCGCCAGCTCCCGGGAGGTGCCGGGGCTGTGGCTCGTGCCCGCGCGGGGCCAGCTGTCGGCCCTGAGTCAGCGCCTCACGACCTCGCCCCACCACGGGGGCAGCCACCTGCTCACTGCCTTTTAACCCAACTTCCAAAGGCAGGGTCTCGGAGCCACCACGAGTGTCCTGCCTCAGCCTCCTGGCCTCTCACGAGGTCCCGGAAGCAGGGCAGCATCTCAGGGGTGCAGCCATGGCCGGGCCACCACGCATTTTCCCTGAGAGGATGCCTGGGCACTCCGGGCCGGCCCCGGCCCCAGCCTCTGGGTGGGCTACTCTTGGGGCCATGGAATGTTCTGGAACCCGATGAGGTGACTACACGACCCTCAACACATAGACCCATTTATTCCCCGGGCCAGCCAGGGCATGGCGGCTAACATGTCACTGGGTTTGACAGGAAGGTCCCAGGCTGGCCACCCGAGTCCTCCTTGTACCCGGGAGCATGTGCCAGGGCCCGGGCCAGCCAAGGCTGGACAGGTCGTGGTGCAAAGATCCAGCTGGCGCCGGCCCCTCCCTCTCCCTCCGTCTGCCTGTCTGTCTGTCCCTCCATCTCCCTCCCTTGCTCCCGTCCAGCCCACGGAAGAAGGACCTGATCCCCGTGGGCCCTCATGGTGTGAGCCACGTGGTCTGTGGGCCCTCTCCGCAGAACTGATCCGGACAACAGAAAGCATAGGTGAGGGGCCAGCAGATGGCATAAAGGTCACATTGCTGGACTCCCACGTAGTCAACCGCGGTTCGAGTCCTGGACCCGGCAGCTTGAAACTCACAAGGGAGTGTGTGCGTGCGTGCCCAACATCCCGGGAAGAAGGAGAATGTAGAAGGGACTTCGACGTGGCCATCCCCCCGGGGGTGGTTCCTCACTCTGTCTCTGTCTCTGTCTCTGGAGCAAAAATCTCTCTTAAACGAAACCACGGCCGGGGCCGGCTGGGCGTGGAGGGCAGTGCTGGACCCCATACGGCCAGCTGTCCGGACCGAGTCCTGAACCCAGCTGGGGTCACAGCAGGCGTGTGCATGCGTGCCCCACGCTCCGAGGGGTGTGGAGAGGGACTGCCGTGTGCTGTTCCCCCGGGTGGTTTCTCACTGTCCGTTCCCCTCCCTCCCTCTCTCTCTCTGGTGAGCGCATGCGCCCTACAGAAAATTAGAAGTGAAACCGCAGTTGAGGCAGGGCCAGCAGCAGGGGGGTCAGGGCCCCTGGCCACGTGGGAGCCCAAACCCATGCGATGGGGGAGCTGCCACCCCTGTCTGGACGAAGCACCGGGCTCAGCGGCCGAGCACTGTGGAAGCCGGGGGTGCTCTGGACGTGGAGGCAGGTGCAGCCCAGAAGCACCTGACCCGGCTGCCCGGTGGGGAGGTGCAGGACGGGGCCTCGCTAGGGCCTGAGGGCCATGGGAGTGCCCACCTGCGGCCGCAGCCCGAGCCCAGGCACACCCCTCGGCCGCAGAGCCCCCACCCCGAGACCCTGAGAGCGGACAGGACCTTCTTGTACGTGGTCTCTCCAGACGCGTCCACGCCGCGGTGGCCCAGCTTCTTCCCGTGCCCAGGGCCCGGCTGCCCGGCCGTCGATGGGGCCTGGGGAGGAGGGGAGCGTCAGAGGGCAGGGCCAGGGTGCCAGGAGCCCCGCGTCACCACGGGGAGGGGCACCGTCACTGGGCCCCCGGAGGGCTCCTGGGCCCTAACCTTAGGGCCCACCCCAGCATGTGGTTGTGGCAGGTTGGCCTCTGTGCTGAGCAGGGCCCCTGGCTACACCCACTGCCGTAGCACCCCCAGGGTGACACCGCAGATGTCCCCAGGCTGTGCCCAGGGTCCCTGGGGTGCGGGATCGCCCAGGAGAGCCCCTGGGGGGGCGTGAGAGGGGGCAGAGGCCTGAGAGCCCAGAGGAGCAGAGGTGGAAGGGAAGGCCCGTGGGGCAGCGAGGCCTGGGTGTCCCTCCATGGCTCCCCGTCCCGATGGCTACAGCTACGGCTTCAAGGCACCCGCTGAGCCCACCCGGGAGCTGGGCCAGCCCCTCCGCTCAGGCCACCCTGTCCCACCCCACCCCTGCACCTGCAGAGCCCTCCGCTCAGCCCAGGCTAGCAGCTCTCTCCTGCGGCCACCAGGGGGTGGGCTTCCCCAGGAACCTCCTCCCCTCCACAGTCCTCTCGGGCTGCTGCCTCCCCGCCACCCTGCCGGGGTCCACCCCACAGTGGACTTGAAACACCCCGGTCAGGGGACAAAGCCTCCTGCCTCTGGGGTGGATGTGCGACTCCCTGAAGCACCCGTGTGGAGGCGTCCCGGGTGAGGACAAGTGGCCACGGCCGGTCTCAGGGACTCAGCCCGGGCTGCTCCTGACCCGCCGGCTGCCTCTCCCCTCGCCCTGCATGGCTCTTGGACCCCGGCAGGCTGTCCCGGGGTAGGGCACACCAGCCCCCGTGCCCACCCCGCTCACGGCAACCACTGCCCAGAGGCTCCCGGAGCCTCGTCCTGGAAGAGGGTGTTGGTGTAGGTATGTGCGTGTACATGCAGACACACATGTGCACACGTGTCCACACACGGCACATATGTGCCCCGCATGTGCACCATACACGCACGTCAGCACGCAAGGCCCAGCATGCTACACGTGCACACATGTGCCGTCTGTGTGTGCAGCGTAGCACGCGGCCTCGGCACGTGCTCACGCTCCGTGCGGCTGCTCTGAGGACGGGCCGCGGGTCATGCTGCGGTCCCTGCACCCACACGGAGTGTTTGCCCGGCCACCCAGGGTCCCGGCTGGCACTGGACTCCCAAGGGGCTGAGCTCCCAGTGCGAGGCCCGCCGGCCCCACTCCTCCGCCACCCCACAGCCCCGCCCCCTCATGGCCGAACTGTGCCCCGGGACTTAACCATTGGCAGGACAGACACGTGTCCACCCGCCTGACCGCACTGCATGGCATGGGGCCCACCCACGGTGATGCAGGGGGTCAGGGTGGGGACCCGGGCCCTCCCCTTCGGAAGCTCACCTCGGCCAGGGCCGTCTTCTTAGGAGCCAGACCTACGGGGAGAAGGAGAGGCGTCAGCCTGAGCCACGGCCCAGCCTGGCCCTGCAGCCTCAGAGCCCAGGCCCGGCCAAGTTGGCCCCTGCACCCCCAGAGTGGGCATAGGACAGGGGGCTGGCCTCAGGGTCACACACACACCAGAGGTCACGGCTGAGTGGACCCACCAGGCAGCAGGGACATGCAGCCTGGGGACCTCAGTGGACACCTGGTCACCAGGGGGCAGGAGTGGGCAGCCCAGGTGCGGGGTTGTCAGGGTGGGACCTTGAGGCACCACGTGGGTTGGCTCTGTCTGGGGTGGGGGAGCTAGAGCAGGTCTCCCGACCCCACGCCCTGTCCATCCACGGTCCTGGGCCGAGCCTGCCCAGCGGCGCCCACCCCTCCAGAAGGCCAGGTGCGGGAGCCAAGTGCACTGGGGGCCCCAGCCCAGGGCACTTGGCTGGTGACCCCTGGAGACCCTGTGTCAGCCAGGAGGTTCCTCCCACTGCCCAGGTCCCTGCCCAGGTCGGGGCAGGAGGGCCACAGGCTGGGTCAGAGCTCCCTGGACAGACGCTATGCTGGGGAGGGGCAGGGAGGGGAGGGGAGGGTGCCTCAGGGCTTCGCAGGTGACGGAGAGTTCCTGTCATCCTGGGCCTGTGGAGGGGCCTCCCCGCACATGTGGGGGTCTGCCCTCTTCAGCCTGCCCAGCTGGGAACCCCAGTCCCCACGTCGAGTTCCCCAGCCCAGGGGTGGCCGCGGCCAGGGTGACAGGACATGCCGAGCCGCGTGTCACGCAGCCCAGGCCGAAGCCCACCCGGGAAGGAGCTGGGTGGGGACGTGGTGGCCACCATCGTCTGCGCCACGTCCGATGGCGGGACGGGCCCTTCGCCGTGAGGGAGCGGGGAGGAAACAAACAGACGGAGGAAACCGGCCGGGGACCACCGGGAATATTCTAGACCTGGTCCGGAGGCCCCTGGGCCAGGGGCTGCCCAGCCCTGACGCCCACCCCGCTCCACGGCATCCTCCCGCCTCAGTGCAGGGCCCACCCCAGCAGCCTGGAGGCCCCGGGCATTGCATACAGGAGCCTCCCCCAGCGGCGTCCCCCGGCCTCCAGGTACTCCAACAGGGCAGGCAGGCCCCACCGCCCACACCACACAGAGCGAGCCCTGGAGGAGGCTGTCAGGGTGTCACCGTCCACCCAGCCCCAGGCGTGACTAACTGCCTTCTGCACCAGTGCCTGTTTTCGAGGAAATTAAGTTTTAAAAATAGCTGGGGCGTGCGGCCCACCTCTGCGGGGCTCGCGGGGTACCGGTGCGTCCTGCCTGGGGCTGGGGCAAAACCAGACCCTGACTCTCCTGTCTCTCCTCGTGGGGCCTGCGAGCTGTGCAGCCTCGGGCCAGCCCTGCACCCCTCTGACCTCTGAGCAGGTGTCCTCTGGCCTGGTTGCATGCCACTCAGCACCACGGGCCTGCAGCTACCCTCGCCGCCCCACGCCTGCTGGGACCCCTCCCCTGTGAAGTGGGGCCACAGCCCAGCCTCACTCTGGCCCCCTCCCCGCTCGGCCGTGCCCTAGCTCTGCCTGTCCCTGCCTGTCCCCCACCTGGACCCTCTGACCGTCAGCTGCGCCCATCCTGCGGATGAGTCCTGGCCCCTCCTGGTGACGATAGACAGGCTCCGAGGCAGGGCCTGCCTTCGCTGACACCCCTGGGTGTGTGGCCCGACCCACAGAGGGACACCTCCCTGCTCCGTCCCTGCCACGCAGACTCGGTGGGGCACCGTCTCCACACCCGTGATGCGCGAACAGGCGGGATGGCTGAGCCGGGCCTCCCCAACGCCGGCGCACGGCGGACCGCTGGGCAGTCAGACCAGCGGTGGGGACAGCCAGGTACGGGGTGGGGGACACGGAGCGGAGATGGCCACTCTGGCTGGACCAGGCCTGCTTCCAGAGAGAAGGCTGGAGGCAGGGCTCCCATCTGCCCCGGAGCTGGTGTACTGGCTGGGCTCCCGGGCACCAGGCCCCAGGGCTGGCCCAGCCTGAGGGGCCTCCCCGCCCAGAGAGGGGCCTCACACCCTGCCTGGAGGAGGAAGCCACTGGGGGTCCTGGGTGGTGGAGCCCCAGGGCAGGGAGGGACGCCAAGCACCTCCCCCAGCTCCAGGCTCACGCACCCACACCCAGCCCGGCTCACCTCGCACCTCCCTCTGCTCCAGCCGCTCAGCCCCTCGGCCCCACCTGCTCTCCCCCACGCCAGCCCGGTCCTGCCCCAGGGCCTTTGCACAGCTGGGCCTCGGCCTTGTCCGCCCTCCGAGCCTCTGCACGGTCCGCTCCTGCTTCACCCAGACCTGGCCCAGCAGGGCCCGTCAATCCCCCGGCTCCTGGCACCTCCCGGTGCTGTGTGGCATGCTGGGGGGAGTGACAGCACAGTCCCCACGCACAGACATGGCACAGCCCGCTGAGCGCAGAGGGGACATCACTGGGAGAGGGTGACTGGTCTCAGCAGGACCCGAGGCCTGTCCGGTCGGTGCAGGGGCCTGTGGCCCTGGGGTGCTGCCCCGAGGGCTGTCCAGGCTGGGTGCCCAGGCTGGGTGCTGGGTCACCGCGACTCAGACGGACAGGCACAGGAGCAGCCTGCGAGGTGCAGCCGGGGCAGGGCAGGGCCGGCCGCCCTCGGGCTCGCATCCCGATGTCCTGCACAGCCGTCCGTGGGTTCCTGAGGAGCAGCGACCGGGGACCCAGGGCCCTTCAGATGCTGGCCCAGATCCAGGCACCCCTCGGGCTCAGCCCAGCAGGATAGGGTGGATGGGGAGCCCCCGGCTGGGCCTGAACACCCTCGAACGGCAGGCGGGCTCCCGCGGTCACGTGCCGGGTGGCATGTGCGTGCTCCGACCAGCAGGGGACATGAACGACGGCCGGCCTGTGCCTGGCAGCCCCCGACCACACTCCAGGGACCCTGCAGCCACGCGGGGAGAGGGCGGCGAGGCGGCCCACGGAAGAGCCGGGCACCTGGGGACGGAGGCCCCCGAGGGCTTGGTGCTGCACTGGCCACGGAGTGGCTGACCCGAGTGGCCCCAGACGGCTGGCCAGCCCCGCCCAGACCACAGGTCGCAGGGGACCAACAGCTAAGCCACGGGGTGGACCACGTGTGCTCCCAGACAGGCAGAGAGAGACAAGAGGGCACGTGAGAACCCCGCGGGGACGGCCACGCCGCAGTCCTTTCTCCACCACCCTCCTCTCAGGGTTTTGGGCACGCACACGCCCTGCATGCTTTCCAAGCTGCTGGGTCCAGGATTCGAACCATGAAGCTGGCCACGTGGGAACGGCCCCTTCCCCTCCCCACCCTGCTTTAGGCTTTGGGGTGCTTGTCACACAGCACCAGTGTCACCATGGGCTGCGAGCACCCACGTACCGTACCCCAGCAGAGACCCCACAGGGTCTCGTCACCGTCACCGTGAGCCTGGCCCCGGCCCTCCGCTCCTCAGGATGCGGGGCACATGCACACGCCCCGGCCCGGGGATCTGAACCCAGTCAGCCGCGGCGTCGAGCACTGCAGTGCGGCTGCT